CCGCCGCAGCCCCGCACAGGTGATGCGTTGCGTATCCACGTCTCCCCCCCGCAGCAGCATCGCACCGGAGACACGGGCACACGGCATCAGTCAGGGGCAGGGGACACAGTGCCAGAGACACCCCCCGCGCTGCCTGACACCCTGTCACCCCCTCCGGAGCCATCACACAGGGACACATTGGTGTGTGTCTCCCCCACGTGCTATCTCACACCCGTGTCACACCTTGACGCCCTGTCCCCTCGCACACCCACGTGCTCCTCCCACGCCATCACAGCCCCTTGGCAACCCTGGGGCACACGGGACCATCCTCCAGTGGCATCCCCCACATGGAGCATCCCCTTGACATGGAGCATGTCCAGAGGGACTGGGTGACCCACCCCTGCCCCCCCCAGCCTGGCTCTGCACATCCTTTTGTGGCGTGGGAAAGGGCCGGGGGTGGGTGCAGGACCCCCCACCCTGAGACGGGCACCCCCCGGGGCCGAGGCCGCCCCAGGGGCAGGGCTGGGCAGGTCGGGGCAGCTGCCTGCCCCCCGTGCTGCCTGCCAGGCGGGAACAGGCCCTGCCGGGCTGGCAAGCTGGGGCAGGTGCCGGGGCAGGGCAGGGTGGGACGCGGCGCCCGCCCGGGGCAGAGCCACCATCCCCCTGCCCGAGCATCCACCCTGCCCCAGCCCCGCAGCCCCCAGCCCCTCTCGGCCCCCCCATGAGCAGCTGGGGAGACACCGGGGCTGCCACCCACTCCTCACCTCCCTGGGCATGGCAAGACTAGAGACAGCAGCTGGGGGATGGATTCCCCGTACCCCCACAATCGCCACCTCCCAGGGTTTGCTCCCTGCCAACCCACAGCCCTGAGACCACCCAGGGGTGGGCTGGGGGGGACACGGTGGGTGACGCAGGCCCTGGGGGGATTTGGGAACCAATGGAGGGACAGGGGTCCTGGCAGCTCCCGCTCTGTTCCTACTTCTCCACCACCCGACAGTTGCCTGGCAACTCCATCTCAGAGTGGCAAAACGTGTCCCTATGTCCCTGTCCCCACAAGGCCCTGGAGGGATGGCATGGCATGGCACAGCATGGCCCTCCTCCACCTGCCCTTCAAGACCCCAGCACTCAGATCCCCCCACACCCCACCCGAGACCCCAGCCCAGCTCCTCCATCCCTTTTCCTGGGGCAGCCATCGAGAGTGCACAGTCCTGGGTGTGAGCGGTGCCTGCTGGCTTGTGACTGCACAGAGAGGAGCTGCTCCCAACAGCAGAGCCCAGAGGAGGCAGGAGGGGAAACTGAGGCACGGAGAGGCTGTGGGAGCCAGTGGGCAGGGGGCTGCAGAAGTGGGATGGACCCTGAGCATCGTGCTGTGCCATGTGCTGCACTAAGTCCCGGGAAACGCGCCCCGGATCTTGGCCCGGCAGCTCAGCCCAGCTCCTCTCCCCCAGCTCGGCGTGGACAGGGGCACTTCTGGCGCAGAGCGAGTTATTAGCTTAATTAATTTGCTGTTATTTCTCCTAACGAGCTGGGATCTGGAGCAGGCGCTTCCCTCCCAAAGCCTGTGCCTCCATTTGCAGCCACCCTCCCTCCCCCCGCCCCGGCAGCCGAGCGGGGGGTGTGAAGCCTCCAGGCACAGCTCAAAACAGACCTTGTGTAGGAGGGAAAAATTACACCGAGGGAAAAATCCCTCCCCTTGCCAGTGCCTTAACCCACTTCCCAGCTGCAACACTGGGAGAGGGGATCTCAGCACTGGGGGAAGGGGAGAGACACCCCCGGTTGAGAGGCTGCTTCTCCACAAGGTCTCTGCAATGGTTCCTGGACCAGGCTTGACCTTAAGCACCGTGCCAGGGAGGGAAACTGAGGCAGGGCATGGTGAGGGAAGGAGCAGCGGAGGGAAGGGGCAGGAGAAGGTCGATGGCTCCTGCCTCTGGTGTTGGAATGGGCTCCAAGACCCTGACCCCACTGCTGGTAATGAGAGATGGGGAAAGCTGCAGGGAACAGAGGAAAGGGGCTGGGGCAGGATGCAGAGGGGGGAGCTGGGGTCCCAACCCCCACTGTGACACTGGTGTCCCCCTCCCCATGTGCAGCCCAGGGCTGGCTGCAGGAATGACCGCGGGGCTCCCCAGCACCCCTGTGATCAGGGGGCAGCAGGAGGGTGTACAGGAGGGGGGGGGTATGTGCCACCCCCACCCTATTTGCTGTGGGAAGCTGGGCTGTGAGCCGGGGGGGCTGTGGTGGAGGTGCAGAGGGGGAGGGAGGCAGTCGGGCACAGCAGCGCGCAGGCAGCAGCGCCCACACCACCCACACACCAGTTGGTCCTTCCCCAGTGAGTGAGCTAAGCTGGGAGGAGGGGGCTTGCTGGGCTGGGGGATGGGCTGTAGCTGCTGTCCCTGGGGACACAGGAGCTCCTGGAAAGGGGAGCTGGGCTCCTGGCACATGGCTGAGCTTCTGGCAGCGACACTGGCCCTCCCGGCAGGTCTCAGCCCAAGGAAACAGAAGAGATCTGCTTTTGAAACCATATTCTCATCTGCTGATACAATGCTGGTCACAAACGTGCACTCCTACAGGACAGGAATCCAAATAAACAAAACCAAAAACCCATCACAGTGTTTTAAGGTCTAGGACGTCGGTCATGTGACCAATATGTTAGTGATACATTTCAGCCTCAAGGCAGAGAAACAGGTACATGGAAAAGATGAGGGGCTTCTGCTTTCAAAGTGTGGCCCTGACATCTGAATCAGATACAAAAAGGTCCTCGAGTTACCAACAACAAAGATGGTATTTCTGCTGGAGAGACAGGCATGCAGGAGATCTGGAGTGGGGAGTGGGCAGGTGGGCTGCAGAGGCCCCCTCCCTGGCTGCAGATGGGGAGGCCAAGATGCCACTTGCTTTGAGCAGCGACATTGCCTGTCTCTCCTGCCCCAGCAGCTGGCACTGCCCCACTGCCCCAGCAGCTGGCACTGCCCCACACCGCCC